ACCAATGAATGATTCTTCTGTCTCTTTTTTGGCATAAAGGTCCGCATTTTAAACAAGAATACATAAAAAATTATAATCGATTAAGACCTCAACATATTAATATTGAGTGAACCCTTTTTCTATTCATCAAAAGAAACTAGAATAAGAATATTTTTTTTCTTTGTGAAGCTTTTGTGTACATTTTAATTCAATGAATTTAATGGATACTTATTCATCTGATATCTGCAGCGGTCAAATGTATATGCAAGTTTAAAATTGAAAGCGTATTAATGCACTTATAGAAAGATAAAGCAATTACAGAACATTATGTGAATGTCATCGAGTATAGAGTATAGTATGTGACTTCATCTTTACTAGTTCAGAAAAGCAGAAATAGTTTTTCTGCAATTTCATTTGTTCAATTTTATCTCGTTACGCGAATACAGTGCAAATTTTTCCCAAAAGACTTATTCTACAATATTTCATCACGTTTGCATGTAGAGTATACGGGTTAAGAGCCAACAAACTGCATAACTGATAGCAGAATTGCGTTAAGTTATGCTGGCGGATTTAATATTAAATTTCCAAGATTTGTGGATTTGTGGATTTGTGCACTAAAAAGTGTTTTCCTTTGCTTAACAAGTACACTACATTTTACAGTTGTTTTATTAAAGCTAAAAAAATTTTTTTTATAATAAAAATCAATTTTCAAAATATTTCTAATGCTTTGGACTAAGAATAGAATATGTATGGTATTTGAAGATATAAATAAATGTAATAACAGTTTAGATACTTAAAATACTAATTACTAATACTAATTAAAATACTTAAATATTAAATTATAATATTATAAACGTTTATAAATAAATAAATTATTTGGCAACATTCTTTTAGGAATTAAAGTCAACTAAAGCATCGAAAGCCACCGTGTGAGACTTCAACCCACTAAACCACCTCTTAGGTAGGTAGGTAGATGGTAGATGGTGACAACGGCTCCATAGTTTTCTTGTAGCAAATTTTATCTATATTAGTTCTTTTTCTTCTTCTTTGTTCCGTTAACTCTCAGTGGAGCATAGGGCCTCAACAATTTCTCTGAACCGTATTCTATTTGGAGCTGCCGTGCAGATGTCGTTCCATGAGTAGCGCGCTGATGTTATTTCGGCATCAATTGTCCTTCGCCATGTTCTTGAAGCAGCGCCAGGCCGGCAACTGCCTTACGGGTTCCATTTTAGGGCTTACTTAGCGATATAGGAATTCGACTTGCGTAGCGTATGTCCGATTTATTGCCATTCTTGTGTTTTGATTTCGCTCTCGACGCTTTGTATTTGTGCTTTTCTCCACAATTCTGCGTTAGAGATGCGTTCTATATTAGTTAAAACTCGTAGATCTTAATTCGGATTTTGTCGAGTTGACTGTACTAACTGTTTAAATATTTTTCAATATTAGAATTTATATCGACCAAATACAATTTTGGAACGATAAACTTAAGTCTCTTAATCATTTTAAGCTATTTTGTAGGGTTTCAGAGTTATAAGTTGATAGTAATAAATATTTTTCATTTATTTTGGAATTTTTTTCAAAAAATTTTACAAAACAAAATATTTTTTTTATTTAATTGATAATACGGAAGGAATTTAAAAATAAATTTAAAAATAGAAATATGTTAATCTAATTTGAGAAGGGCGTGGCGCAGGATTCTGAAAAATAGGTGTGCAGTTTTTGTGCTATGTGTATGATTAAATTGCTATTTTATTTTATAAAAAAGTTCACCTCTATTCTTCCGTCTAATAATCCTCTAATTTTTATTAATTTTGTGAACTGCAAAGAATTACGGCAAAAAATATATTATATTCCCTCTAGCCGCAACCCTGTCTGTGCACCACTGTATGTATTAAGTTTAATAAGATGAAATAAAAATTTAAAACTATAAAAATTTTGAGAATGAAGACATTGAGCCATTTACACTTTTGTAGTCGTACTTAATGTTCCATAATACTTTATCTAGTTAAAAGTATCTTAATTTTAACTTTGAGTGTGTGCAATACGGGTACATATTATGCAGCATTGCCACATAATAGGACACAGTCTCTTTGTTCCATAAGAGGTTATAAAAATGTACCACGTGGCTCTAAAAGTGTTACGAAGAAAACAAATGTGCATGTTACTCGGTTCGTGACTTATCATGTGTTGCATCTATGCGGTGTTTTTGCGAGGCAAGGAATAAACAGCGTAGTTAGGAAGGCTCCTCACGTATAGCGCTAATGGCATATACTTGCACCGAAAGCTCACTATGCGTTTAAGTGGTTGTAAACCCAAATAAAAATAAAGCTAAAATACTAAATTTAAAGTAAAGCAAAGGCGAAAAACAAACGTAAATGAAATTTAATGTTAATGATAGATACATTTTAAAGGATATTGATAAAATTATATGAAGCTATATTATATTCATTGTGAATCTTTGTTTAAAAAGCATAAAAGGATTCAAAGTATCAATTGAATTGGCAGAGAGATTTAATTTAGTTAAATCAATTTCCCTTAACTGATATAAAGTTTCATTTACGGTTTCTACTCGTATGTGCAAATCGCAATAAATCGATTGTATGCAGATGAACTAGTATCTGGCACAGTTGGAAATTATGCGCACATATTGAACGAAGCCAGCGTTTTTGTGGATGAGTACATAAATTTGCATTTTAGCCATATGTAAAGTGTATCTGCAGGATGTGCCTTGACAAACTAAATGTTTACAGATATGGAAAAAAAAATATTCGTGATTATTGCAAGGAAGAAAGTGTTCAAAAATATTTGTTGTTTTTGGTAGTAGTTCAAACTGCTATTTGTTGTCTCAGTTTGCAAAAAAAAAAAATGATAATTTAAGTTAGGGAACCAGATTGAACTTCCTTAGTGTTTTAATGTAAATAGAGTCCTAACTACACCAAATAAGTATTAATTATAGATTCAACCTTCTTCGTGTTTTAATGTAAATAGAGTCCTAACTACACCAAAACTGGTATTAGTTATGTGTCAACAAAAATACCAGTAGGGGGCACAATTTATAAGTCGGTGGCAGGTAAAGGCTCTGTGGTAGATGAAAAATATTTGTCAAGAAATGTTGGTAAGTTATAACGTTTTGATATACGAAAAATTTGAAAATAACTTTGTTACAAGTTAAGATAAGATATTTAATTGCCAAATCTGTAAAATCTTGTTTAGATGTAGTATTAAAATCAGTCGTAAGAGAAGTCGGTAGCTTAATACGCTTACGCTAACTACAAGATATTCTAAAAAAATGATGTGGAATCTTTCAAAATAATAAATGTTGAATAGAGTTATATATTAAAAAATTGATAGATAACTGAATCTATTTAGACAATAATTTAAGCTTTGAAAAATTAAGATATTTAAATTTTAAGCTTTTTATGTTTCACTCCTGATAACTGGAATACAAATTCAGCTGGAAGTCTTTCTGAGTCGAATGGCTGATTTTTTCAACTTAATCCTAAGATATGGTTTCAGGGAGTTTTTCGGGTAGTTTCTTTTTATATCATATGTATATGTTAATATAAAGACATCCACGTTCTTTTCGCAACTGATTTCTTTTATTTGTGAACCAATTTATTATCTCATGTATTTATGAATTTTAGTAAGAAAATCTTCAGTATCACTATCTTCATTGATAATACACATACAGACGTATATCTATTAGAAAATGTAAGGATTTTTTTTCTGTTGCAACAATTCATATTAATTGATCTAGGTACGCCAGATGTCTGAGAACTGAAAATACTGAAATTTGACACGTAATTAGAAAAAATGTTTGCCGCGATTGTATTATGATAAACTTTTCACGTAATAATATAGTAATAATAAGTTGAGTAAATAATAAATAAATAATACCATATGTAAATAAATATGTTCAGTGATTAGAAAATAAAGAAAATTTAAAACGAGAGGTTTCGAACAGTACTGAATTGCAACAACAAAAATTTTAATTCATTTTTAATTAATTTTTGACTGACCATACAGCTGTTTTCAATTATTGCCAAATACTCATCATTAGTGGTTTTGAAAATAATTTCTTTGAATAATTTTTTGACTCTGCAAGTATCAAGAGTTGTATTCGTGCCTTGTTAAATTTGAATCTCAGAGTTAATATTAGCTGACTCAAAGCCGTACTTGATTTATATGTTCGAACTTGGTATTTGTTAATTTGTTGTGAACGTTCAGCGGACAGATGATTTAATTTATTCCTTCGCAAATTATCCGAATATTTATATATTGATTCAAGTCTTCCGCACTACTATAAGCATCTTGACGAAGCAAATTCTTTAGGTGACTATAATTCCGTCAGTGTTTTAATAGTGAGCTAGAAAATTTTTTTTTCACCTTTGGTCAATACCTTTATGTTATAATCTAGTATGTTTTGCATTAGTTTAAGCAATCTTAAATAATGAAATGTAAACAAAATTTAGTTAAATATAAACTGTCAATCTTGTCGGTTGTATTTACTTCAGTTGGCGACGAGGATAAAAATCTGCAATTATTCAATCGCTTTCACGCTTATTTCGTACCGTTCAATTTTAAATACAATCATGCCGGGCGAAAGTGAAATTTATAAGCAATTGCTTAAAGAACAACAAGAGTTCTCAAAAAATTTACTGAAACAACAACGTGAGTGGATGGACTCAATGTTCCAAAAACAAGGTACTGCCGGTGTATCTGAAAGAAATAACAACATTGTTCCAGTATTTCACAAATTTTCGAAAGAACAGCAAACCTGGGAATCGTACTTAGAACAACTTAACCAACATTTTTTAGCATATTCAGTTCAGTGCAGTGAAAAACAAAAATCATTTTTCTTGTCTTGGATTGGCACAGAAAATTTTGAGCTGTTAAAAAATCTTTTCGGTAACACGAAAGTACAAGAACAATCTTTCGAAAATTTAACGGAAAAACTAACGGATCATTTCCAGTTGAAACGACATGTGGTCGCTGCACGTTACGATTTTTTCAAAAGGGAAATGAAGCCACATCAATCATACAGAGAGTGGGTAGCCGATCTCCGCGGATTGGCAAGAGAGTGTAACTTTTCGTGCTCAGCCCAGAATTGTTTGCACAATTTCGTGGATGATATGATTCGTGACCAAATTATTATACGTACACCGCACGATGCTGTGCGCACCGCTGCGTTCCAAAAGCCCCACCCAACACTTGCTGATGTTTTACAGATTGCAGAATTGTACGAAACAACCACTAAAACGGTGGCAACAATTAAAGAACAAACGATCGAAAACTCAATGCCTGTTAATTCAGTTGGTACAATTATAAAAAAACCGGGTGTTTTCAACAATAACAATAATAAAGTAAAATTCAAATCATGTTCTGGCTGTGGAAACTCTCATGCAAGAGAAAACTGTAAATTTAGAAATGCTGTATGCAATAGATGTAGCAAAATTGGACATATTGCGCCAGTGTGCATGTCAAAACAAAACAAGAACAACAAACGTAATTCAGGTGATGAAAACAAGAAGAAAGATTACCGTCGTAAAAGTCACAACATTGGTACTGTTGAAACAATTAACAGTTTAACAGGTATTGTAAAAACTGAAAGCAATAAGAATTACATTGACTTGGAAATTTGTAATAAAATTGTGTCTTTCCAAATGGATTCTGGTGCAACAGTTTCTCTAATAAATAAGCGAACATTCAAAACTCTAAATTGCCCAAAGTTGCGAAATTGTACAAAAACCTTATTTGGTTTTGGCAAAAATGAAATTCCAGTGCTTGGTGAACTTTGCGTAGATATCAAATGTGGCGGAAAAGAAAGGGAAGTGGTAATCGTTGTCGTGGATGTCGAAAACTGTAACAATTTATTCGGTTTCGATTTATTCAAAGAATTCGGGTTTGAGATTCAGCAAATTTGTAACATTACTGAAAGTGAATCACACAGAATTAGCGAGCTGTGTAAGAAATATGGTGATATTTTTGAACCAGCTCTTGGCACAATAAAAAACTTTAAGGTCAGTATTTTTTTAAAGCCAAATGCACATCCGAAATTTTACAAAAGCCGACAAATTCCATTTTCGCAAATGTCACTTTTCAAGAAAGAAGTCGATCGATTGACAAATGCGGGTATTTGGAAACCTGTGAAGTTTTCCCAATGGGCTTCGCCTATTGTACTAGCGCCAAAAGCTGATGGTTCCATAAGAATTTGTGAGGATTTTAAACAAGCAGTCAATGCGCAAATTGACATTGAACAATATCCTTTGCCCATACGCGAAAGTCTTTTCCATAAAATTAATTGCGGTCAACATTTTACAAAAATCGACCTTAAGGACGCGTATTTACAAATGGAACTCGACGATGAAGCAAAAACAATAATGGTTGTCAACACTCCACTTGGGTTATTCCAATACCAACGTTTACCGTTTGGAATTGCAAGCGCTCCAGCTATATTCCAAAGATATCTTGAGCAGTTACTTCAAGGCGTAGAAGGTTGCGGAAATTATCTCGATGACATCATCATCTCCGCACCTACATTCCAACAACACATCAGCCGCCTAGAACAAGTACTTCGTATTTTGCAACAAAATGGTATCAGGTGCAAGCAAGAAAAATGTTTCTTTCTGCGAGATAAAATCGAATATCTCGGGCGTCAAATTAGTGCAAAAGGTATATTGCCAGATGAGTCAGGACTAAAAGCAGTCAAAAACCTGCAGCCGCCTAAAGATCTAAAGCAAGCAGAAGCATTCATGGGTAAGGTAAACTACTACCATAATTTTATACCTAATTTTTCGCAATTATCCGCGCCAATCAACATGCTGCGCCGAAAAAATGTAAAATTCACATGGGGTACAGCACAACAACAAGCATTTACAGCTCTAAAAACGCATATTCTCAATGCAGCGCAATTAGCACATTATCAGGAA